TGATATAGATATCACAAAAAAAGTGAGACTTTAGTTGGAAGGAATAATAATTAATTGTTATGCCATCGTCATACATGATACACCGCACGTTCATTGTTCCTAAAAAAGTCTTGATATTTATTTCTATCCGTTCTGGTGGGGTTTTCCAGTATACAATATTTTTAATTAAACTAATTTTTTTTGTATTAGCCAATAAATGTTTGTTTTATATATATTTTTTAATTATTGAAATTTGGTCGGATCAATCTAGTTTAATCAAAATCGGGTTTAATTTGATCAAATGGCCCCTAATCTGGAAATGAAACCAACCTAATCAAAAGTCGTGAATTGCAAAACATGGCATTATATATTGAATCATACCCATATTTATAAGAAATGTTTAATCATTAAGAAAATTTTCTATAAAGTAACAATTTGATTTTGATTAAATTTTTATTTTCTAAACAAACTTGAAGTTAACTAAGCATTCCAGACCAGCTGGTTGTGAGGTTACCGTGTCTAGTGTAAGGTCTCGAGTTCGAAACCCGCTTGGCACATAAGAGTTTGAAACTCAATGGGCTGAGTTTCAACCTTTATTACTCCAGACTCCTGTCTCCATCCCCCGGTCCCCACCTGGAGTAAAAAAAAAGAAGAAAAATGTAATTGTTCGATCACTTCATTTATTTCCTACCTTCAAACAATCAATATGTTATTGTAAATGGTTTTTTGATCTTCTATATTGTTAAACAAAATAATATGTTTTGTTTATTATATCATTTTATCTTGATTTTCTTATTCAATACGTGGTATGGAGTATTATAATAGCATACGTAATACTTCCTCCGAAACGTTAAAGTTGTCTCATTTTACTTTTTCGAAAAATTTCACTAAAATTGTCTCACATCAAATTTGATAAAATTTGTGTTACTTTAAATAATTTTTACTTTATTCTTATTTTATAAATTCAATATCAATAATATAAACTCAAATTCTCCAATAATAATTGTGTCACCTCCTCTTATCCTAATCTTACTACGACCCAGATAGTACTCAGTATTATTTTTCTTTGGCTGTTTAATTTTTTCGAAAACGATGAGCTTTCATATAGGATTCAATTCAACACAGAATTTTAAAGTATCATGATCAGTGTTATTCTTCCGTCATCACTCACAAATATTATTATTCGTTATTATAATTGGTACTCCTGCAGTAAAAAAAAAAAGAAGAAGAAAAATGTAATTGTTCGATCACTTCATTTATTTCCTACCTTCAAACAATCAATATGTTATTGTAAATGATTTTTTGATCTTCTATATTGTTATTTAACAAAATAATATGTTTTGTTTATTATATCATTTTATCTTGATTTTGTTATTCAATAACGGAGTATTATAATAGCATACATGATACTTCCTCCGTCACGCTAAAGTTGTCTCATTTTACTTTTTCGGAAAATCTCACTAAAATTGTCTTACATCAAATTTGGTAAAATTTGTGTTACTTTAAATAACTTTTACTTTATTCTTATTTTGGGTCCGTTTGGATAACAGCGGGTGCTTCAAACCGTTGCTCCTTTTTAACGTGAAAACGCTGCTTTTAGCAGCGGGTTGGTGTGGATCCGCCGAAAAACAAACAGCACCTTTATAAATTTAATATCAATCATATAAACTCAAATTCTCCAATAATAATTGTGTCACCTCCTCTTATCCTAATCTTAGTACGACCCAGATATTACTCCGTATTATTTTTCTTTGGCAGTTTAATTGTTTCGAAAACGACGAGCTTTCATATATGACTCAATTCAACACAGAATTTTAAAGTATCATGATCAGTGTTATTCAAAGAAAAAATGACATGTATATTACTTGTAGAGTTTTTCCGGACAAAAATATGACTAGTGGTGTTATTGAACAAAAATATGACTAGTTGCTCTGTATGAGTAATTGTATAAGAGTCATTATGGTGTATTTTAGAGTGACAAGCCATTAGTAGATGATAAATCCTAAGAACTAGTCACTGGATGTCTGGATATGTCACTTTTTGGAAATATTCATGAAAAAAGTCATAATTCAGCGTATTGAATAACCGAAAAACATCATCACCAAGCGAGCGGTAAATGTCATTTTTTTCTTCTCAATCATGTTATGATCCATAACATTAGTTTCTCCCACTAACATTTAATCAGTACGTTGTATCACATATTTTATAAGTAGTATTTTTAGGGTAAAATAATTAAAATACCTCAAACTTTAATGAGGTGTGATATAAGCACCCCAAATTTGCATATGTAATTTAAATATCTCAAACTTTATATAAAAGGTTATTTTGGCACTATGGTCATGTATTATTTCTTTCAAAAATATTAAGTTTTGGTGTTTATCTTATAAATTTGATATTTTTTAGCATTCAAAATGATACAATTAACATTCTAATCTTCCATTGTAAAATAAATATTATTACCACCATTGTTTTTACTCCGGGGGGGGGGGGGGGGGGGGGGGGGTGAGGCCTGGAGTAATCATCAACGCTGAAACTCACTTCATTGAATTTCAAACCCTTGTGTGCCTAGCGGGATTCGAACTAGAGACCTCCCATTAGGCATGGTAACCTCACAACCAGCTAGGCTGGAATGCTTGGTTATTACTCCCACTATATATAATTCTGATGTTTTCAATTTGTTGTTTTAAATTATACATTTAACACCATAAATTTACATTTTTGAAAGAAATAATTCATGACCATGGAGTTAAAATAAATTTTTATACAAAGTTTGAGGTATCTAAATTACATATATATGAAAGTTTGAGATGTTTATCTCACACACATTCAAAGTTTGAGATATTTTAATTCTTTTCCCTTATTTTTCATGATACGAAATATTTATTTGATTAGTCCATGTCATTGTTTTTTGTCTTCAAATACACAATTGACTTTCGTATTATTTTTTTTTTGTTTTTGTTATTTTTGAAAATCTTAATTAACAATCATTAACTTTTTATTTCTTATACTATATATATAGTTGAATTTGTCCATTTGATTTCACGCTTCAGTGTCTTTTTATTTTTGTTTTTCGTCTTTCATCTTTTATTATATATTGACGCTATCCATCATTCAATCAGGTTGTTTTATACGGAGTAATACTCCGTGTTACATTCGGTCAAACAATTCAATAGTCGTTCGAAATGCTAATTAATGTTTTGGTAAATAGTACTCCGTAATATCTTCCTCACACTAAGAACATGACTCACATGAGGGATGGCCGGTTAAGAAAATAAAATTAAGTGGTTGATATTGAATTGATAAATTAAGAATAAAATAAAGGAAAAATTGTCAATTAGATCCTCGTACTTTCATGAAAATGTCAATTAGGTTCTTGTACTTTTAAAAAAAAATCAAACAAATCCCTGAACTTTATAAAAATCTTCAATTGAGTACAATTGCAGGTTACTTGTCATGTCAGCAGGTCATCCGCTGACGTGGCGCACACTTGGCGGTCCACGTGTACCCCTCGTTATCAGCAAATGGCTGACTGGACTTCCACATGTGTGCCACGTCAGCAAAATTATTGCTGATTGGGATGTCACGTGTGTCTTACGTCAGTGGGTGACATGCTGACATGGCAAATAACATGTAAATAGACTCAATTGAACGGTTTTACGAAGTTCAGGGATTTGATTGATCTTTTTAAAAGTATGATGATCTAATTGACTTTTTCATAAAAATACGAGAACCAAATTGATAGTTTTTCCTTAAGTAAAAACTAGGGGTGGGCATAAAACCCGAACCGAACCGGTACCGAACCGTCCCGTAATGGTACCGAACCGAATATCGGGTATTTAAACGATTCTATAGATTTTTATCCCGTACCGAAACCGTACCGTTTGAAACGGGTACGGGACCGGTCCTAGATTTTGAGAACCAAAAAATACTGGACCGAACCGTTCGAAAATAATGCATTTGAATTTTTTATATTTTTCTATACCAATAGATCTCTTTTATAGACCAACAATTTTATAGCCCAAGTATGTATTCATGTGTTCCTAAGATATCTATATATGTGTTTATATATATATATTGTTATTTCTACTTTTTAGATAATTTGTGTTATACTTTGGTGTGTATTGAAAGAATATTAAAATTTTAGAAATCATTAATGACTATTCATTTCTTGTAATGTAATGTCCATGACTTTTTGTTGTATCTTGTTTGTGCAATTTTTACAACTTAATTAGTATGATTTAAATCTTAGCACTCAAGGTTCAACTATAAATTAAATTAGAACTACGGAGTAATATTTAACCTAGAACGAAGAAGAAGAACGTTGAAGATTTCTATCATATTCAACAATTTGATGATATTCGTTTTTATATTTTCACATGAACTTAGTAAACTAAAGATGATATTTATCTCATGCGTCATCGTTTTGCTATACTTTTTCTTAGTTGTGTTACACTATTTGTGTATTTGTGAATATTAGTACTATGTATGCAATTTCTTGTATTTATATCAACGTTTCACGCGAGTTGGTTGGTGTGATGATATCTATTAATCGCAAGTTTTGTTCAAATTTTTTAGCATACGTTTGGCATTGTACCGAACCGTTTTGTACCGTTCTGAAACGACATGGTACCGAACGGTTCTATCATTGGAACCGGACCGTACCGGACCGTTAAAAACCTCACGGATACATTACGAGTTTTACCAATTTACCAGACCGTTCCGGACCGCGCCCACCCCTAGTAAAAACGATTTAAAATCACAAATTTTACCAAATTTCGTATGAGACAATCTTAATGGAATTTAATGAAAAGAAAAAATAGAATTAAACAACCTTAGCAGGACAGAGAGAGTAATAATCCCTCTACGTTGATATTATCTTTTGTTTTGATGACTTTGCATGTAAATATGTGTGGTAAAAAATTGGGTAAATAAAAAAGAAATGATATGAATCATGAATTCTTTGCTTTAAAATGAAATTAAATTGTATTTTGGAACCCTGAGAAAAGAAAAGTGTAAAGATAGCTTTAGAAAAGATGTCTCAACATCTTGTTTGTACAAATCACCAATGGGCAGTTGTATATACACATTACACACCAAAGCAAGCTAGTGATGAAAACAAAAACATAGCTATGTCCCAAACTCAATGGTTGAAATTCTTCACTCTCTTCACACTATCCCAAATCACCAACTCAAACTCTTGGCAAGCAGAAACACCACCCCCACTTCCCATTTTGCCCCTCCCAAGCTTCTCCCAGCTCAAATGGCAGCAAAGGGAAGTGATAATGTTCCTTCACTTTGGAGTCAACACATTCACTGACCGTGAGTGGGGCACCGGCCGTGAAAGCCCGGCGATCTTCAACCCAGCCTCTCTAGACGCCGATCAGTGGGTAGAGACGGCGGTGGAAGCCGGGATCTCTCTGGTCATACTCACGGCCAAACACCACGACGGTTTCTGCCTCTGGCCGTCCAAATACACAGACCATTCCGTCACGGGGAGCCCGTGGAGGAACGGCAGGGGAGACGTCGTCCGTGAGTTTGTTAACGCCGCTAAGGGTCGCGGTGTGGATGTGGGGTTGTACCTTTCCCCTTGGGATCGCCATGATCATAGATATGGCCGTACCAAGGAATATAATGAATTCTATTTGGCTCAATTGCAAGAACTTCTCACCAAGTAAGTTCATTCTTTTTCCAAGAAAATTTTATTATATTACGGAGTATATGTTATGAATATAATATCGAAATTTGTTCTTATATTCAATGAAAATGAAAATAAAGCTTCCCTAATTCCTAACTCTGTCCCTAAATACAATCAACCGTTTGCTTGCTATGAAATTGATTGGATCAGATGAATGTACTGAACTTTCTGGTTTCATATTTTCATGGCTAAAACTATTGAATGGGCTGAATCACTTATTTCAAAGCAAAGGTAAAGAAAAATTATATTGAAAAAATTAAAATATTCATGTTAGCTAAATTTCATAATTTCAGTTAGAAGATTGAATTCATTTTTGCTCATTTACATTATTATATACTCTTTTTATTGTTTAAAATTCCGTTAACTTTCCTACTTTGGTTGTGTGACCAACTTTGACATTTTCCCTTTAAAATAAAAAAAATTGCAGTTCTTGTTAATTCTTTCTCACCTGCACAAACTTCAATCAAACCATATTTACTACTTCCTCCGTTCCATAAAAATTGCAACATTGGAATTTCTGCACTATTCACACACTTTACTTTGACTATGATTTTCTAACTATATACTTGTATATAATAAAAATATTATGTATAAAATATTAATAAATTTTTATTAATGTAAATTTCCAATATGTTAACTTTTTTTAATGTTTACTAATACGTAAATAAATATAATTACAGTCAAAGTTGTGTGTTGGCAAACATGAAATTTAAACTGTTGCAACTTTTATGGAACGGAAGATAGTATATTATTCTATGTGTCAATCAAATTTGACAAAGTTATAAGGGATCGATGAAGTAATTCAACATATTTATTTAGTAATTGAAAATTGATACTTCATGCGTGACTACGTCCCTAAATTATCTTTCAAGGTAGATTTTGCACGGGAATTATAAAACTGATAATTATGTGGTGAAGAGTTGTACAGAAAAATGAGAATGTGTAAAAATGCGTAAAAAATGCTTGGAACAATAAATCTTTACCAAAAAAAGAGAAAATGAGAACATTTTGACACCCACATAAAAATTGAAAGATAATTCAAACCCGGAAAATGCAATAAATTTGAATTGGCTGATAAATTGATAAGCAATTACCAATAACTGTTTATGATATTTTGGTGATGTAGTTATGGAAGTGTTAGAGAAATATGGTTCGATGGAGCCAAAGGTCCAAATGCACCAAACATGACATATTTGTTCAATGATTGGTTTGAAATGGTGAATGAGTTGCAAGATGCAATTAACATATTTTCGGATGCCGGGCCGGGCGTGAGGTGGGTCGGGAATGAACAAGGATATGCGGGTCCAACTTGTTGGTCCACCATGAACCGGACGCTACTTTCCATCGGCAACAGCAGTGTACTTGAGTATGTAACATTCCTTATGCACACACTATTATTACCTCACCACTATGCTCGTGGAATAGTCAGAGCACAAAATTGAAAACATGAAATAAATTTAATATTTGGTCTAGCCTTCTAGGTTATTGAAAATATCAAATTAATACTCGAAAGTTCTGATTTTTCATAGGGAAAATCCTACAATAGAAGTTAAAAATTAAAAACAACGTGAATAGTTAAGATATTAGTACTATGTTTTCTTTCCGAATAAGTATACGTCATTGTTATCGAAAAATTATTGTCATACTCTAGCATTATCAAACATTAAATGGTTGTATTTTTAGAACTGCATTAATCTCAAACAAGTCACTAGTAAAGAAATACTTCCTCCGTCCCAAGTTTGTAGATTAATTTCACACATATTAAAGAAATAAATTTACTAGGGACTAAATTTTAGTGTTCTGACACTGTTTCGACACTGTTTGGATATTTTTTTGATATAGATAATTTTCCAAATAAGGAAGTGGGAATTTAATTTAGAGACTGCCCAAAAAGGAAAGGTGGAAGTTGTTTCTGGGACGGAGGGGAGTTTGTCCACCGTACAGCCGGTTGTACGGTGAGCACCGTACAGCCGGTTGTACGGTGAGCACCGTACAGCCGGTGACATTTTTGTAATTAATGTGAAATCACGGTTTCTTCTAAATGAGCATTAGTGTACTGTTAATGAGCAATAGTACAATTTCAATGAGTATTAATAGTCTAATAATGAGCACCGTGTTATTACAAGAAAGTAGATATCACAACTAAAAAACGATGGCATTTTCGTAATTTCAATGAAAATCATGATTTTCTTTATATGAGCATTAACACACTTTTAATGAGTATTAAGAGTCGAATAGTGAGTATTGTGACATCAACTTCATATATTGTAATTCACTTTCTTTTTCTTATTTTTCTTTTATAAGAACTCATTAAATTATATCTATAATTAATTTCTATGAATTTCAATATGCAATATAATGTAATATGATATTTTTGAAATATGCATTGTTATGACATTTTAATAATGCGCATTACATGAGTAGCAGTGTAGCGTACGTAATTTACAAAATGAGCATTTATATGAAACTCATAGCTATTTTTAGTTGAGTATGAAGATATTTTCATTGAGAATCAAACCTCATCTATTGAATATTAGAAACATGCAATTGAGTATCATTGTATGTGCCTTCATATCTATAATCAACTTTTACGTGAATCTAATGTAATATGGTACTTTTAAAATATGCATCGATATAACATTTTAAATTGAGCATAATGCCAGTACAAAATTAGCATACATTACTTACCAATGCAAATGAGCAATGATATAAAAATCATAAACTTTGTTAGTTGAACATCGTGACATTTTCATTGAACAACAAGTAAAAGGTTAAAAACTAAGTAACCTAGAGACGTATGACACTATGACCCTGCGTAGGAAAAAAAAACAAAAAGTAATTGTCCTATATAGGACTAAAACAAGGTTAAAATGCAAAAATAAGACATGTTATGTTTTCTTCCCTTAATAGGATCAATTTAATCCTATTCCTAAACATAAGATAATTGACATCTCAATTTTGCCCCTCCACCCATTTACCCTCCCTTTTCTCCTTTTCCCTTCATAATCCGTCGATCCCTTCTCCACCAAATCAGATCCAGAGTTACCTGCATCTCATCATCTCGGAGTAGATCTGCGGATTTCATCGCACAACGTTGACTACTCCACCGCTTCGCTTGCATCACCTCTGATTCACTGCCTTCGCCTTCCACCTTCATCATGTTTAGTTTTCTCCGAATTTTCAGGTTTTTTGCTTTCTTCGATCTTCTTCTTCTCCTCCTCCTCCTCATCCTCCTCCTCCTTCTCCTTCTTCTTCATATTTCTGTTTTTCTGGATTTTGACATGGATTTTGCCAATTTTCAGGCTTCTATTTTCGTATTTTTGACTTCTGATTTTCTTACTTTTTTAAAAAAATTGATTTTTCGGATTTTTGGATGATGGCGGCGGATGGTGACACCAGCGTGGGAGGCGAGACAGGCGGTGAGGGTGGAGGCATATAGCGCCAGCGAGACAAGCAGCAGACGACGGCGAGGGCGGTGGCGGGCGGCGCCACAGAGGGCGGTGGCAGGCGCCACCACCAAGGGCGTCGTCGGGCGATGGCGTCGGGCGGCGCCAGCTAGGGCGGCGGCGGGTGGCAACATCGTCGAGGCTGGCTGAACTGCTATATGAAATTTTAGGGTTTCAACAAATTGTAATTTTACATTTTTAAATTTAAATTCAAATAAAAACTGAATGGGGGCATTTTTGTACAAATAAGTGATTTAGGTCCTACGAAACATAGATTTGTTTTTCAGTCCTATTTGTGCACACAGAACTTCTTTTAGTCCTAAACAGGTAATTAAAAAAGTAATGCAAAGAGCAACCGAGCAGAGGGACGCCACATAAAGGAATAAGAGAAAATAGAGTAATGTAACAATTAGCCCCTAACTTGGAGTTATTTACAAAAATGACGATTATATCATGCTCATGGTACAGTCGGCGGTACTTTATAATTTGAGTGTGATCTTATTTTGATATTACAATTTGTTTCTTGTTTTTTAACTAATCGTAACATTATTTAATTTTTCAATGTAGTTCAACTTTTGTTAATAAAAGTTATTGGAATTAGTATTATAATCAATAAGAAATCAAAGGGATATGCACCCTAGATATTTCAAGTCAAGAATTTATGAGCCATGTGCATAAAGAGAATTGTGCTTGTTTTACAATATTTTTAAGGCAATTACTACGGTACCGGACCGTAGCAACTAGCAACCAACCACCTATTTTTAAAATAAACTCATGCGGCAGTTCTAGAAAAATAATAAAGATCATTAATATACTTTCCTTTATATCTAAAAGAGACATACTTAGAAATTTGTAACATTAATTAAAATTAAAAAATATACATTTTAATCCTATTTAGGATGTTTTTTTGGACTGTTTTCAGTCCCAGACAAGACCAGACTTTCGTAGTTATAAAATACACAAAGACTAGACATTTATCAAATCAGATCAGACCAGATCAGACTAAAAGAAAACAACCTTAGCTTACACAATTTTCCGACAAACTTAGATAGCCTATTAGGCTAACAACAATCCTTTTCATCAATAAATTAAATTTTCCATTAATTTATATGTATGTATTTACTCAGTTAATCCAGTTTTTCTGTGAAACTCAGTATCATCAATACACCTCCCTTTTTTAATTAAATGCATCATTCATTACTTTTACACCTCCCTTTGCCCTCCTATCTTTGTCACATTCAACTTTTTCGCCAGTCTCACTAAGTTCGTCATATATCATACTTCGTATTTGTTAAAATATGGATGATTACAATTCATTCTTACTTTATATTTACAATTTATCAATTTATTATGGACCACAAAATTTTACTTTTCTTAATAATCGCACCACACCCTTTTGTCCCGATGTTAGGGGGGCGGAGATTTAAAAAGTTGAACATTTCGATGTAAAAAAGATTGAATTTATTTTTTCATTGGTACTGAAAATGCATACTGAAAATATGTAGTACTATACCAAATTCCTTATTTTATATTTTATTGTATTATTATTTTTGTTATTTTTTTGAATTTAATAGTAAGGGCTTGTTGAATATTAAGATGCACAAATCCAAACACAAGTGGTTGAATTTAAATACTAATAATAAAATACAAGAATCCTACATATCATTGGTTGTGATAATAAAAGAGGAACAAGTGCTAATACATCAGAAGAATGTGAAAGCCACAAATAGTAGCAGCATTATTGAACTAAAAATTGAAAAAGGTTAACAGTAGTGGGAAAAACCCATTGCATGTCATTCCCATGATGGGCTTAACAAATGATTCACAATATCATTTTTAGAAGAATTGTGCATTGAAAAGCTCTTGATTCCAGTATATCACATCATGTAGTCATGTTAAGTCGAGGTATCGTAATTAAGACCAAATCCAATGTGTGAAATAGCATAGTCATAGTCAACACTATAATCTTAACTACTTGGATTTTCATCGATTTCTTTATACTCCTTTTCTACAGTCTGTTGTGAAGGATAATGCAAGTGAGCATTATATCACCTAAAGTATGTTTGTGTCTGATACATTTAGACGGGCCCTCGTACGATAACTCATCTCGTCTATAAAATGTCAAATGTTCTTTAGACATCATTGCGATACGTCCCAATGTGTGATGTGATAAAATAGGTGGACTTTTAAGAAAATATTAGGTGTTCTTTTACATAGAAATGAAAATAATGCTCCTCCCTATATTTGATTCATATTGCAGCAAAAAGCCGTTTTTTAAGGGTGACAGGATCACTAATGGTGTTATCAAAAGTAGCTCATATGGGATAAATCAAGTCAGCTAAGTAATAACATTGATCGAACAAGTTATTGTTTATCCTGTAGTTGACTTGGGGAGCGAAACCATTCACAACTGCATCAAACACTAGAAATCTTGCAAGCGTGTTAAGATCATCATTAGAACCTGCCATGCTACAAAACATGTCATATCCATGTATCATATGAAACAACAACCTCAAGCACAATAGATGGTTTGTGTTTGTATCTAATGAACTGTCATGCCCATGCCGTAGGACAATTTGTTCATTCCTAGTCGATGGAACCAATCATATCGGGAAATCCCTCTTTTTGAAACCTTCTCAAAAAAACAGTGGAGATTATCGCATATCCCGATAATTGCCGTACCAAATTTCTTCAAACATGACAAAGTCATGCTCTCCCCAAACGGCATAGTCTACTTAATGAATCAACAGAGAAACCATTTATGAGAATGAATATAACACTTGTTATTTTTTATTGAGAGGAAAGATACACATTATTCAATGCATCATTCTTTGGTGCAAAGAAAGAAACAGTTCGCACCATGTCATTTGTTGTACAATCAAACAAAGTAGGTTGCATGAGAAAGCGATGACGGAAGATA